AGAGTTTTGATTTTTTTTTCCTTTTGCATTTTGGGATTTTTCATGAAGACCTTAGAATAATTTAGGCTGGAAGTGACCTCCAGATGTCTTGCCTCAGGACTTGCTTTGCTGCTGCATGTTGTTCATGAAGAGAACCCTTTGACAGTTATTTCTTAAATGGGAGGGTCATGTGAACATTATTCACTGCTTCTGCACTTCCCTTGATTCTCTTTTAGTGGTCTTCTAAGGTATTTGGATAAATCAGATCACACTGGAGATTTTCTTTTGGTTTCCATTGGAGCTAATTTCTTTGCATTCATGAAGTTTGCCTGCTGAAGACAGGGTCATTTAACTTTTAACTCTTATTGTTCATCCAAACAGATAAATTAATGAAATATATTTGCTGTTCCAAAGAATATGAAAAACTTTAATACTGTAATTTTTAACTTAACAGATAGGTGTTGGATGCATATTTTTCTTTATTTTGAAGAGAATAGTTTCATTATAGAGCCTCAGTTGGAATTTGTTTCTTCTTTGGTTGGAATTTCTCTCCTTCCACTATCCCTTGAAAATCCCAGGAGAGATTTTATCTGAAGTTTTTGAGGCTCTTTACAAGCATCAATGATGTAATGTTTAAAACACTGATACAGTTATTTACAATTGAGCTTTTACAAACAGATGCCTGCTATCAGTTTGAAAGTTGATAGAGTTAAGTGTGCAACCAAAGCCATTTTCTCTTCAGTCTGACTTTATGTCAAATCTGTATGGAGCTTTGTGGTTTGTGTAATTTTTTTTAATTGAAGAAAACAGTTTGTGTTCAAAAGTGAACTGTGACTTTGTCATTGGAGTACACTGGGTCAAGTTCAAGTTGTACCTGTTGAGTTCCGTCTTTAGAGTTGTCCACGCACAGTTTCACAGGGTAAAAGTCTCACTACATACATTTCACATTGCTTTACAGTAATTAAAGTTTACTTCTATTAGAATGTAGTTATGCTGAAGATTGGGAAATTAGAAACAAACTAAGCCAAGGCATTTATAGAGGTGCTTGAAAGGCCGTATTGATAGCGGGATTTGTAAAAGCCATGCTGATGTAAGTAGTGTCAGTTTGCTGTCACTAACAGACTGATGTGCTACTTTAAACCCTACTCCTTAACCTATGCAGTTACATTCTTTGTGGAGATGCACAGCAGTAGCTGATGTACTACTACCCATTCTTACTTTCTCTAGCACTAACATTCAAATCCCTGTTTCCTTTTTCTCAGAGTCAACAAACTTGAGTTTTGTTGCCAGTTTAAGTAGAATTATAATAGTAATTAAAAACAGTACGCAGAATGCTGAAGGTTGTATTTTGCCTTGTGAAAAATGAAGCTGCTTCTTTGGAGATGTAGGAAAGAAAAGATTCTAAGAGGGTAAAATTTAGCTGTGTAGACCTTCATGGTGAATCAAATATTTGACATGGTGTGCATATCATATTTGCACCACTCATCTGAATGTCATGGAATTATCAGCAAACAGTAGGAGAATATGTCAATTTAATGGAAGCAGTGCTTAACAGTAACATCTCTAAGTAAACATGCTTTTGCACTTGCTTTCTAAAGTAACCCATTCTGTATGTATCTGTCTGGTCTTTCGGAATTAAAACTTTAAAGTCTTAATTTTCTACTGACAAAAAACACACTGTTATTTTCTATTGGGACATTTTGTTTTCTCCTTATGTGCTGAAGATTCAGGACACGTTTTTTCCACATTGAAATGACATTTAACTTCAGGAGGTTTACACCTGTCTTCCCCCTGTATATTGCCAGTAGTGTGCATTGAATATCTGAATTTCTATTTTGTGGGGAAATCCCCCAAACTTCCTGAAGGATAGAAACAAAGATTAGCTATATATAGAAACATTTGTCTATTACAGTTCTTTTCATTTAATCAGCATTAGGATATATGTATGCATTACTGAACTATGTTGGGAGCCTTAGGAACCAAAGTACAAGTTTGAACTACTCAGCTGTCTTCAGATGCTGTTGTAATATACTTCATTTGCAGCCTGCTCTGTTACTGTCTCCTCCAGCAATGGAACCCAGGGCTATGGGATGATAAGTACACTTGATTTCCAAAATGGCACCAGCTTTGTCACCAGTATGTCTGCACTTATTTCTTGCATGTCCAGACAATATTATTGCTTTAGTATATGTTGTCATGAACAGAGTTTTCCCAGAGAGTTTGCCATTTGGTTAGCTTGCAAGCATATGCATTTATATATAGTTACAGTAGTTTATTCTGTTTGGTTTCTTGTATGTGCTGTTAACTATGGTATCCATAAATATTATATGATGTTTTAATATACAGTATCTTTATTTAAATCTGTGTGTTTTGTGAATGTCAAGGAAAGAGAAGAAAGTTTATTTTCAGTTATGCTAACAATGCTATTAGTGGTTTTCTGATGTGATGGTAAAAATTATTAATATTTAAGATTTGAGAGGGCTAGCCAAGACATTAATCCTAACTAAAAGAACATTCACCTAAAAGCTAACAGTCTGTAATTGTTTCCAACTCACCACTTCTGAGCTAAGGTAACACTGGGTGTGCCACTCCTACAGGCTCCATCAAGGGCCATATCTCTATATTGTCACATTATTTACTTTTTGATTCCTTCTTAGAAGTGTGGCAGTTGGCAAGCTCCTTAAGGAGCTCATCACTCCAGGGGTGGATAATTGACTTTGCTAACACTGAAATTACTGGTTTTCTTCACCTCTTACTTTTTTTCTGTACCAGCATATAGGTTGGGTCTCTGTGATCATTTGACAGAGAACAAGGAACAAAAAGGAAATGCTGTCACAATGTTCTCTCACTATGATCAGGGTTCATAAAGCTTCTGCCTGACTTGTCTTAAATTTTACTTGCACTGGTAGGCACTTGGAGTCCCCAGACTTTCCAACCATGACCTGTTTGCAAAGATGTGTTGCGTGCTTTTCTCAGAACTTGACGAATTGTCACTTTTGGCTTCTGAATTTCCTATTTCCAGAGTCTGTTTATTCTCTTTTCCAAAACTTTCAGTGCCTGAGAAATGTACTTAATTTGCTTGGTTTGTGGCATTGTGTAATTTTTGCATTTCACGTTCTTCTCCTTCAAATTACTCTTTTACTATGGACTTAGAGCCAATCGAAAGCTGGGTATGTTATCACTAAAAATTGATTAATCGATAAACATTTTATCTTTAATCCAGTCTTTCTGTCTTCTTTCTTCTTCGTGTTTGGCATATTCTTCTCAGTTTTGGCAAGAACTTCCCTTCAAACCTTTCTTTTAAACACCTATATCCCCCTAAGTCTTTCTACTCTGACCTCCTACTGGTAACTAATTCTGGCATTTCTCCAGGCATTTGAAATTTTTTTAGGTTGTTTAGAAATAATATATTCAGTTCTAGCTAGATACTGGTATCTAGTGCCATATAGCATATAGCTTCAATGTGTCCTAATGGATTGATTAGGAACTTACACAGGTTATCCAAGAGCAGTCTTTTGTACTGTGATCTCCATTACTTTTTGCATTGCAGAGTCAAAAGAGTTAAGTCATTGTTGCTTTTTTGTCTGACACATTGCTGCTTTTTCATCTAGCTCAGTATGAGATTTCTTTCATGCTGCTAGATACAGTTTGTTGTAAACACTAGGGTCATTCACAAGTGGATTCTTCCAGAAGTTTTTGATATATTCCCCAATATGCTGTTCATCTGTAAAAGCAAATTCTGTAAATAGGAAGGTTTGGGGTGGAGGCAGGGAAATAATGGCATTAGTTTTCATAAGTCTATTTTTCCTGAAGTGAAAAAGCTCATTCTTGGGCTTGTTGAAACACAAATGAAGGAATACTGCATACCATACTCTGAAGGCATTTCCCGCCTAGTTTAAATAGGCTTTCACCCTATTATTTTTATTAATTATAGAGTCTGCTTGCTACTAATATAGTCTCCATTAAAAGACAAGTACAAAACATTACCAATATTAAATCTGAATGAATGGTCTTTCATTATTTCCTGGTAAATAAAAATGAAAAAGCTGTGGTTTTAATAAATAAGCAGCAGTGGTTAGTTTAGAAATCTCAATTCTTCCTGATAAAACATGAAGTGCTTTGTGGGATTTTTATCTAAAGAACATATGGATGTGCACTGTCGAGGTGGAAGAATACAGATTGATTTAAACTGCACTCTGACTACACTGCTTATACAGGCATTCAAATGTGTACATGTATTGGCACATAAACACCAAGCATATGACCTGCTCCACTGAACAGCAAAGTTTGTAAGTCATAGGTGGTGAATGTTAAATATGGAAATAATTGGAATTAACTCATGCAGTGAAACTACAGTAATGCAGACTAGGCGTTACAGTCCTGGCATAAATCTGTTGAAGCGGAGAGACAGTTCAGAAATGAGGATAAATTGCTTCTGCTTTTCTGTGCTCCATTTCACTGTTGTCTTGTATGTGTCTGCCTGTTGTTCCTTTCTCTAAATGGATGTTTTAGTGCTACTGATTAGTGCTGCAGTCATACCTCGAGAAACTAAAATCTCCATTTGATTCTTGAGATAAATACTGAAAATATTGCAACAGAGCACACTTTCCCACAATGCAAGGTCTCTCAGTAGAGCTGACCACAGATGCTGTGGTGATGCAGCCCAGCTCTGCTGGGGAGAGTAGTTCAGCCTTTCCCTGTGTTCTTAACTCCTTACCTTAATAAGACTAATTTAAAGTGGCTAAATAGCATCAAATGTGACTGTGGTTATTTCTGCTATAGCGGTAGGTACAGTGAATCATGAGGATGGCCAACTTTGTTTCAGAGTAAGATACTGAAAAGACATTGACAGCAAAACTGCATTTCTAAGGAGAAAAAGCTTACAAGGCAGTTATGGATAGAGTCACCTGCAGCTAATCATCAGCATGCCTGGATCACGTATCTCAAGAACAGGCTTAGACAGCTCTGAGGCTTATATTTCTGTATTCCCTGCGCTTCTAACTAATTCCTGTTTTTTGCAGGCAGTGGAATGGCAATGCGATGAAGCTACTAAAAGAGCCTGTTACAGTAAAGGCAAATCAAAGGTAAGTGTGAGACAGCTGTTCTGCTTTAATAAAATTTATATGTTAATAGTAGGTGTAATTCAGTTTATAAATCTCTGCCTTATGCATTTTTACTGTATCTCTTTTTGAAGAGAGTTGTAGGAAAGGAGTCTGACACTGATGTATAAGCCAAGAAATAAAAAAGAATATAGGGAGTATAGGGTGAGAAGTACAGTCATACGATTCTTTTCTGAAACGATCAAGTACTTTAGTTTCCAACAATTTACTGTTCTGACTCTAAAACATCTCATATACAGTGGCTTTATTCTCACTTCATTTTCAGTACTGTAAATCCCAAATAACTGTGTAATTACTTTGTAAAATCCTCAATTTATTTCCCTGTGTATTAGATGCAGTTTTAGGAACTTTTATTTTTCGTATCTGCTGGCACTATGAAGAAAATAATATGAAATTCGCTAACTTTTTAGCCATGGGACTTGATATATTTTTATTTTTATTCAGAATAAATTTCTTACCTGGCCAGTTATGATTTCTTTTATTGAGCACAGGTAGGTGTAATGGAATCTGTATTAATGCTATGTTCTTTTGTGGCTGTCCTAAGCTGAAGCTAGTTATTAATCATAGAATCATAGAATGGTTGGGGTTGGAAAGGACCTTAAGATCATTTGGTTCCAACACCCCTGCCATGGGCAGGGACATCTCACACTAGATCATGTCACCCAAAGTTCTGTCCAAACTGATCTTTGAACACTGCAGGGATAGAGCATTTACCACTACTTTGGGCAACCTGTTCCAGTGCCTCACCACCCTCACTGGAAAGACCGTCTTCCTTACATCTAACCTGAACTTCCCCTGTTTAAGTTTAAACCCAGTCTGCCTTGTCCCATTGCTACAGTCCCTGATGAAGAGTCCTTCTCCAGCATCCTTGTAGGCCCCCTTCAGATACTGGAAGGCTGCTAGGAGGTCTCCATGCAGCCTTCTCTTCTCCAGGCTGAACAGCCCCAACTTTCTCAGCCTATCTTCATACGGGAGGTGCTCCAGTCCTCTTATCATCCTCGTGGCCCTCCTCTAGACTTGCTCCAACAAGCGTTAGAATTGCATACAATTTATTTTTGTGATTATTATACTGTTTAATCATTAAAGTTAATTGAGATAAATCATAAAGAATAAACACATCACCAGCGATAACTGCAAAAGGGCACAGTTGCTTTCAGGACCCACATTCAGTAGAACATGTCAGCATACATTATTGATGTGCAAAACTCAAAACCCCTCAGGCTTCAAAAACATATTGCACAAGCTTCTGACATCTAGTACAGGAAGAATCTCTTTGGCATAGTTATCTAATCACTGACTTTTTAAAAATTCTCTCATTAAACAGTTCAGTTCCAGCTTTTCCTACTATGTTCTAGAAAATAAAATTGTAGTGTACCTTTGACCTATCTGTTGCCATTTGAGATTGAAAGGGAAGAATAGCCTCACTTCAGAAGCAGGCCCATGTTATACTGTGAGGAGGGAGAGAAAAAGACAGAATTACTTGGGAAAAAAGTAAGTGTAGTCAATATACAGTTTAAAGCTTCATGCATTGAAGATTATTGCCTTTATGGAGGAACATCTTTCAATGTAGAAATAAGTTTACAGTACTGGGAATAAGGCATCGAGAATGGTGTTGCCTTCTTTGTTCTCCTTTCCTTTTCTTTCTATCCCAGTGTGGGAAACAAATATTTAGGAGTTACTGATCACTAGCCATTAAACTGCAGGATATGCTAGGTATATAAAAGTTATTAATAGCTAGAGAAAAGAAAGGGGTTAGATTTTACTTCAAGATTTCTAATATGAGTAGATAAATTCTGATGACTCAAATTACATGTGAAGGCTTTAATAAAAGAAATGGATTAGAGATCAGAATGCTTACTAGAATGCTTGTTAGTTGGTAGAGAGATTAGAAAGAACTTTTGGGACCTCATATTTTAAGCAAATGTTTCATTTTCTGAGTTATTTCTCTCTAGAGAATTTATGCCTCTTTATGTAATGTATCCCTCAAGCCTTCATCCTTAGCTTTCAAATGACAATACTCTGAAGAAAAAGAGTATGCTAAGAAACAGTATAATATGACAGATTGCACTGATCAAGGGGCACATACAGTAGAAACTGTCCTGGTAGGAATGCAATGTGTAACTGAACATTAATGCCACTAGTTTACTGTGATTTTCCAAGTTTAAAACTATGAGAATAACATTCAGCTTGTCTGAAAGTCACAGTGCAGTGACTGTGACCTAACATGATGGATGAAAGTAATATTAAATTTCAGACTATAGAAGTGTACTTTTGAATATTATGTTGACAACACTTTGTGGTGTAAAATGCACATTGGATTCAATGATGCAGAAGCACATGTTGCTATTAGATAATTTTGCTAGGAGAAATACTCAGCATTGGTGAAATGCATTTAATATTGGACCCTAGTGTAGTACATACATTCAGATTTTCATTCATTCTCAGCACACCCTTTTGAAGAAGCTGGCGATTGGAGGTTACGCCATCATTGTAAAATAGTATGTATGGTATTCTAATAATGACCTCTGCAATTGTTACTTAGTATTGTTATTAGCTGGATAAACATTTAGTGTTTCATTTGTATCCATAGCTTTGTTCCTAATTCACAATCTAGAAGTAAAATCTATGTATTTCATTACATTCAAAGGTAATCCTGGGACGAAATTTTTCTTTTCTCATTGTTGCCGTAGGGCTTTTTGTTTGGTGTGCAGACTTTGTGGCCTGAAAGCTTCATGTGGGAGTTGCTGGAGAAGGCAGAGATATTAACTAAAGCAATCTACCCAGCTGGAATGACAGCTGTCTTTTCTAACTTCTCATCCCTCTGTTGCTTTCACTGATGTGATCGAGGTTAAAATCAAAGGGTAAATTTATGGCCAGAGAAGGGATAGCCTAATGATGTTTGTCTTTTATTGCTTTATGTTCAAGACTAAAACAAGGTCACTGTACTCTGTGTAAGGAGGACTTATGCATGCAGATGAGGAAAGACCTGATCTGTGGTGTGCTTCTCCTCCTAATCAAACTACTAAAAACTTCATTTGCAAAAACTGGGAATTACTTGACCCAGAGGTATTCACTCTAGTGCTACAGTGAATTGTCCCTCTTCAGAGGAATTTCCCTGGGTGTCACAATTCCAATTACTATTATCAGAAAGACTGCTTGCTTGCTTGTTGTTGTATAAATAGACCCAGCCCAAATTGGGGAGTTGCTGGGGGTTGCATTTCTGTAACATTTCTGGGGGCAAATTCAATTTTCAGGACAGACTTGTAACTACATCAAAGGGATAGGAAAGATTGGAGACAAAACATAGAAGGCCAGAGAGATGAGGATTACAGTGATAGCTATGGGTAAATTATTAATTCAAATCCTGGTTTCTCTTAAAGTTCTGCTGACCACAGAGCAGCAGAGGGACAATGAGTTCACGCAGTAAAACTAAAAGTCAGTTTGCTGGTGGAGTGCCCTGAAACCAGAAGCTAGCTTTGAACCCTGAAGCAAATCTAGTACTTTAGAGATAATGGTCAGTTAAACACAGCTCTTTTTTTTTTTGTTCTTGAGAAAAAAGCTGCACAGAATTTTTGCCTCTAGCTGTTAGCAGTAGTTGTTCTGAGGTTTATGCTTTAGGAGTCAATGAGGGGAAAGAGCTGAAGGGGGAAATGTATAGGACATCTGTCACATTTGACAGTGTAATGCTCACTTGATGTTTGAAGGCTGATGTTTGTTACTGAGACTTCAGACATGTATCCACCAATTTGAGCTGTTACTTAAAATAACTACTGGCTTCAAGAGTGATCCAGACAAAATTATGTCCTTGTGGCCAGCATGTGGTAGCATTTAGAAGTCTAAACACCACACATGGGTAAGAGAATAAATTTGGCCATTCATGCTGGCACTTATGATAGAGACTGTTAAAAAGGAAAAATATAAATACACACAGTAAAATGTAATAAACCAAACAGTTTTTTAAAAATATGTAATTGAAGTCTCTTGTCCCATGCTTGTTTAAGATTCTAATGGCTCTGTGTGTTAGCATCTGAAACTTCAATAAAATTATTAAAAAATTAAGCAAAAGTGTGTTTAAAATGTTAGCCTATACAAGAAACATTGATGCAAACAGATAACCATATTCAGCCAGGTTGTCCTTGAACTGTCAAGTTGGTCTAAAACTTAAGTAGCAACTTAGCCTGCTTGGCTGCTGAATGGATTCTAGTAGTTGTATTTTGTTACAGGTATGTTGATACAAAAGCAGAAGGTACTTACTAAATGAATTTTTTTCTTTCAGAGATATTTTCATAGGAGAATAGGAAAGTATATGGCATAGAGGTGAAGAGAAACTGGAGAATAAGACTGTGTAAAAGATGGCCATGAAACCTATCACCACCTTCTGAAATAAAAAATTCTTTGGTTTTGAAGTCATTTGCATTCACCATTGCCACTTCTGCAACACGCATTTCTTTTTTTGTGCATGGAAAAAGTGAACCAGTACAGTTGAGCTTGACTCCAGAGCTAGAAAAGTGACTCTGAACAATTCAAATGACTAAATAATGGAGTCCTTTTTCGGTATGTTTTTGGCTGGTGATTGTTTTATTCATGGCTATTTTGTTTTTAATTTGTTTTCCATTGTTGTTGCTCTTTCATATGAAGAAAATAAATAGACAATTATAAAAGCTATTCTTTCAGTTTTGATCTTCTTGTACTGTGTACCCAACAAAAATTTCATGGGAGATATCTTATTTGCCCTTTTGCAGTATGGATTGTTGTCAAGTTGGCACAGGACTTGGAAAAGTTAGAGAAGAATCTTGTGAATCCCAGGAATGTCAGAGTTTAAAAAATTAACATTAATTTTTAGCAGAAAGAGTGGGTGATGAGCGTGCAAGTAATTTGGCAATGGCACTAGTTCAGGAAGCTCTGGAATATGAAGAAAAGAGGTTAGATGGTTGTAATGTCAGAACCCACTTATTTTTCCTACACTTACATTCCATGGCTTGATGTAAAGGGCAGGATGGAAACAACCCAAAGAATGAATTTCTATGTTACATTCTATGAACCTTCCTAAGCAATCTTCTCCCCCCCC